ATCACACCCGCTGGCGGTGGGTTCTGTCACTTAATATATGCTGTGAATGATTGACGTTTCATCAGCTCAGAAACATTTTTGCTCCAGAAGGCGAAATCCCGAGAAGGCACTCTAGTAATGCGCGCGTATATATTAAGGAAAGTACTTACAGTTGAAATATATAGTCAGTATACCAGAAAAAATCTCGATTTGCTTGAACAGGGACGGAGAGGAATCGGTAGGTAATGATGACGTTTTCTGTTGTTCGGGCCCGCAAGTAAGAGATGGTTAGGATGACGTAAAACAGAAAATCCGGAAGGGACCGTACGGGTTGTAGATTTTGTGACATTTATTGTACGGTCATACTAAGGGCACTTTCCATCTGTCAGAACCGACCGGCCAGACCATTCCTGTCGTGATGAGAAAATCACTATTAATCATAACTATGCAGTCAGATTAGTCAAATTTTAAACAGTATGCACGAAGGAAAGGGTTTTTCGACAAAAACGTTTTGAACAAGGATTTTTCAGTGTCAAAATGACTTGTCCGCTTATGGTCCGGCCGGCCAGTTCTGACTTTTGGAAAGCGCCCTAAGATACTCTTTAAGCGTTACGTGTTATATCGGTGGCATTCTGTTGAGCAGATGAAGATATAAGGTTTTTATAACTGTGTATACAGCTATTTCGAGAAAGGTTGTCGGAAAAATGTACACGCGACAACCCCGAAAGGTAATATGGGATATGATCAATACACTGTTTCTGACGACTGTACCTGTCGAATCTACTTTTGTTGGTTTCCTTTAGCACTCGCAAACACATTTCCAGGGCCTTTTGTACCAATTCTTTCAAATTTCTTTTTAGACCCTGTTTACATGGAGTGGGGGACCCCGGTCTAGTGGGGTAGGTTTCCTTTGTTTTGTGTCCTCCAGAGCATGAAAACAAAAGAAACCAACCCCACCAGACCGGGGTCCCCCACTCCATGTAAACAGGGTCTTAAAGAACAGTGAACTTAAAACCATCCACAATGCCTTTCGAGATTGTCGCGTGCACTTTTTCCGACAACCTTTCTCGAAATAGCTGTATATAAACACTTGGAGAGTTTTCCAGACACGAATTCACAAATCTTCTTGATTATAGATGGGAACAATTTGCCACACACTCTTTCTCGATCTCTTTGGGGGAATAAGACTCAGCACCAAACAAGCAAGACGAGTGAATCAACGGCTAGATTATCACTAGCAGAACGATGGACGATTACAGAAATTCGCCGACAATCAAATATTCTGTGCTGACTTATTCCCTGCTCACAGATGTCCTTCAGGGGATAAAGTTTTAAAAATGACTATAGGATGCGCGAGCGCGAATTGATCAAACCTTTTCATTTCGAAGGCTTACATTCCGGTAAATAAAATGAACTGTTTGTAAAAAGAGAAAAAGAAATACCACCGAAAAATTTCAACTCCCAATTAAATCTTTTCTTATGGTTTAGCTTAAACTATTCCCGAAACTGAGAATGTTTTCCGATCAAAGCTGTGTAAATCGAACTGAAACAGTGCATAGGAACCTTTCGTTTCCTGTTTTTACTCTCACCTACTGTATCGTAATATGTGTGAAAATCTTCATTATGACTCGGTATATTTCAAAGAGCTACACAGGAGCACACAACGACCAAGCATACTATTGACCGACAATATACAGAGCGGGGACAGCTGTAGTGTCAACTATTATATTTACGGGTATATATACGTGTCGTCACTTCCTTCACTTCCTTCTAACGGTTCTATTGAAGAATTATTACTTAAAATGTAACTCGCCCTCAAGATGGAAACATTGTTTACGTCATTGTTTATTTTATTTATTATCATTTATTTATTTACACACGAAAAAACATCAGTGAAAAGTAAGATTGCTGTGTGGGTTCCTCATAAAGAAGAATTATAGTAAGTTTTAAGCTTTTTTTCACAAACACCTAGAGAGTAATGTTACATTCCATAAAACCGTGAGGCTGAGAATTCCAAAAGGCGGCAACGCTATATAAAAGACTTTGCTTTTGACACTCTGTCCTAGGATTTTATTTAGTCAAACAGTGTAATTGGCAATCAATGAGGTGTGAAGCCAGGCTGAATACTGATTAAAACAGGAAGACAAAGTAACTCGACATTCATATTGATCATGATGCGGCGCGGGTCCCTTTGCTTGCTTTTGCATTATATAAAAGTAGCATTTCATTAACTACTTCGAAGGAAGTCATCGAAGAACACGCTTTACAGGAAGAAGCTGGTTTCTCTTTTGATTTCAGGTAGGTTAACCTTTAATATGCGACTAAACAAATGACATGCAGCACTGGCTAGTTTAGAGATTTCAGAAACTGGCCAGTTTCCTAAAGTCTTATCAGTGAAGTTTAATTGGATAGATCGATGTGTTCAGTAAAGGTGGCTTGCTTATAACTTTTGCTAGTGTTAAACAACAAATATCGGGTAACTACAAAGCAATACTGAATATTTTTGTAAACCCAGAAAGTACTAGGAAATGAGAAACTCGTTGCGTTGTAGCCCCATATAATTCCTAACGGCTTAAGCGTTGGGTTGACAAAGAACCGATATTTTCTTACATGCTGAACATTATAACCAAAGCTACTAGTCTTATGATCACTGTTAAATAACGAGTATTAGGTTGGCTTCCTATGCAAATTTTAAAGCTTTCTCCTTTTGATGACAAATTCTTTCGGCATCAACATTATCCGTGACTGTGAATAAACTGATACCGCTTTCTTGTTACAACTTAGTTGACATAATTTAGTTTTTTTTTTAGGACGGCACTTTTGGTTTAAGTTATTTGACAAAGTAAAACTTTCTTTGTTAATAAGTTAAGTTTTTTAAACACTTTTGGTGAGCGGGAGTTAAACGCTGTCGGCAGCTAAGAGGTGTGGAGACATGCAGTTGACATGTTCTGTGATTCTCGAGAAGACTTCCTTTCATGCCTGTCGTGCTTTTAGCCACCAAGGGAATATTTTACCAAAGAAGAGCCTTAGAAAGAAAACGCACTCAACAAATATTATTAATTACCCTTAATAAATTCTGTACCTGACATTTTCAACTGATTATTGAAAAAATGGACAGTCGACCGAGGTAAATTATAAGGTTACCCTCAAATTTGGCGAAAGTGTATGCGTGCACATGAAGTTCACCGTGAAGTCTCCGACATGATAGAAGTCACATTTTGGGAATAAGCTTTGGTCCAGTTCGAAAATACTTCCTTTTACCCAAAACCTTGAAAAGGTGAAGCAATATTGCACCTAAAAAGTCGGCAAAATCATTGCTTAGTCACTGTAGGACATAGGAATGTTGGACTAAAGTACTACCGGAACGAATTAAAGTACTACTACGAACGAACATTTTTTCCCCTTAACTGAATTGATAAATTGACCATCTTAATTGATAATAAATCTTGTTGCGTTTCAATGGATTATTAGAGTGATTAAGTAACCTAGAGTAAAATTAAAGTTAGTGTCGAAAATTTTCATTTTATCTTGAATTCTTACTTTTACTTGAATACTAAACGTTTGAGAAAACTAGGTTGGGTGACGATCGCTGCAGGCTACGTTTAAAAAGAAATAAGAAGCTCTCCATCAGATATCTAGTCATGGTGCACTGATCAACAATTTAGCAAGAGAGGATAAAGGGGACAGAGAAGGCATCCTCCGTACACACCCTATTCCATAGGTAGTTCGTCTCGAGTTATTTTTAAGGCCACAGATCCCAAGGGGGATTAGACAACAGCCAATCACGTAGCGCGAATGTGTTCCGCGTGGATGACCCACGCTCTGAGCCACGCGTCCTTCACGAATTGAGGCAGAAAAAAATGGCGGAAGACGCGGAGAGCGATATTACTATTCGTTTTGTCGACGAAAACGACTAAAGAGAGATTTCTGCTAAAGCTGTGTCTTGCTAACAGTACAGCAGGGAAATTCTTAACACGCTGAATATATTCTCAGGATCATTTATAATTTACAGTTCAAAGAGAACAATTTCTGGTTTGATATTTATTCTTAAGTTAGTCTTTTATTATTCAACAAAAATAACACTTGGCGTCCTATAATAATAATAATAATAATAATAATAATAATAATAATAATAATAATAATAATAATAATGATAATAATAATTTAATAACTTCTAGAGCGCTATTTACATTCACTGATCAACAGCGCTTAACAACTTATAAAAACTACAATAAAATTCAAATTTGTAAAACTAATCACATGTACATGAATATTACTTGCTACTTGCTTTATTGTACAAACGACCGGTTTGAATAGACCGGCAAAATTTCTCATTTTGTTTAAGTACTGAGGTTACGATAACTTCGAGTTAAACTGATTTCACTGGTTGTCAAAGAGTCGAGCGATTCCCTTTTCCCAGGTGAGCGCCGACTCATTTCGCTTCAATATTCAGAAATGCTCTCGATCTCTTTACGCTTTCATTGCTTTTCGCCCGACATGTTTTGCACGTTTAGTCATGCGAAACCTCCACGAAACATCCACGCAGCGCGCAAGGTAACTTTATCCCGATTCTAAAAATAACTCGAGACGAATTACCTATGGAATAGGGTATGTATGGGGGATGCTTTCTCTGTCCCCTTTATCCTCTCTTGCAATTTAGTTTGAAATTGTGTTATGCTAGTACGAAGGAATTTAAATATTTCATGTAAGTTCCTTATAACTCTAAATAGCCTGCGCATTATGTCAGTCGATCGGCCGAGTTCTATTTCAGAAAAATGGATCATGCGCGCATTATGAGGGTTAGCAGTTTGCAAACCTTCGGGCTTAGTATAATTGAGGTTCAAGGCGCTAATTTGAGGATGAACGAGTAATAAGACTTATGGCCTATCTTAATTTTTCCTCTTAAAATTCCAGATTATCTACAGTACCTTAACAGTCTGTTGCAGTGTCAAGAAAGTACCCGAATGAATAATTCTACAGAAGTTTGGTTTATCAACTCCCCATTGCAAGGATGCTCCGCCATGGCGTCCATAATGTTTACATCAACTCTATGTGTTATAAGCATGGCAGCGCTTGTCGGCAATATCTTGGTTGTTGCAACTGTTGTGAAGACCCCCAGGTTGCGGACCAGCACAAACTACTACATCGTGAACATGGCTTTCTCCGACCTCCTAGGACCGTTGTTCAATTGGCTGTTGTACGTCAGCGAAGGAATGTTGACGCCAACTGTCTTTGTAAGTGGCACTCTGGCTTCAACTGTTTGCAAACTAGGAATGTACCTCAGAGCGGTGTCACAGATTGTCTCTATTCTAAGCCTTGTGTTGATTGCCTTGGACAGATTTGTAGCCATTGTTTTTCCTTTAAAAGCTATGACGATAATGAATAGAAAAATACGGGTGATTTTTTTGTTACTATCTTGGTTGATATCTTTCTTTTTTGTTTTGCCTTACGCTCTTTTTGCAAAAATTGTCAAAGAAGGTAACCAAACATTTTGCAGATTTATGATGAGCGACGAGGCTTTGACAATTTTTAATAGCCTCGCAATAGTTGTGTTATACGCATTTCCCCTTATCGCGATAATAGCTTTTTACTCGGTCATTTTTAGATCCTTAAGAAAGACTCCAAACTTACTGAAAGGAAAAGAAGACGCAAAACGACGCCAGCAGAACCTGAGAATTGTGAAGATCCTGATATCAATCGTGTTTGCATTTTTTGTTTGCTGGACTCCATTAACTTTATATTTTTTGCTGAAAAAGTTATACCCATCTCTTTTCACAGAGGACAAATGTTTTTATATCCTAGGTTTTACTTTTTATGTCTTCCCTTCTTTAAGTACTGCGGTTAATCCCATCATTCTTTTTGTGCTTAGTACAAATTATAATCGAGCTTTGAAGGTTCTTTGCGCATTCCATTTTTCTGTTTGTAAACCTGAAAGTGAAGAGAAGCAACTTGAGCAGCCTGAATTATTGGCAACAGAAAATGTAAAAGTAGAACTGACAGAAATTAAACCGCACTGTCGGTGATTTTGTCTCTTAAAGTATACATTTTAATAATTGTTAGACGACACTTTTTTTCTAGTATTAACTCAGTTTGAAGGTAACTTAGGGCGGTTGACGGTTAACCTCCACATTTATTCCAGTATGTCGTCTCATTTGACTCAAATAATGTTCAGCATTCATACTAGGACTCGACATATAGTGGTTATTAAAGGAAATTCTGCTTATTCTCGTAAACATTGTTGGTTACATTAGTCAACGTTTGTCACTAATAACTACTCAGTGATATCCACTACCTCTTCTTGAAAGCGTAACTCTATGATACCTGCAAGATGATGTATTAGCTTAAAGGGACTATATGACGATGATATTGCTGTTTTAGGCAGGTTTTAAAAGGAAAGCAAAGTACAGTGGCTAATCCCAAAGAAGTTTTTGTTTTTGAGAATCAAAATGTTTGCTCGGGTAAAGATGGGGAAAAAAATTCTGATTTGAGCTAACTGACAAAATTAAGAGATTTTTTATTCAGAGAGTATTGTGTTTATGTTGTAGTTAATTTTTTATCTCAGGTAATTTTTTTTTCCTTTGTTTCAACTTCATTAGCACACATTACCATACCCAAAAACAAAAGAAAAATAAAAATTACCTGAGATAAAAAATTAACTGTAACATATACATATACTGCAATGAAGGCCTTCTTCAAGCAATTACCCACCGTCCTTTCGCACCACAGGTATACCAATGTAAAATAACTCAATCAACAGTTTTGCAACCCAAATGCAACTCAAGATTATTTTGGCGGGAAATCGCATAGCCACCCGCGTCTTGTAAAGCAGAGACAATTAAAGCTCAATAATGACGAAAACGGAAAGCGGAAATTGTTTCTGTATTTGTGTTGAACAAATAACAATGGTGAAATTAACAAATGCTGGTGGACAAACGAAGCGAGCTAATGAGCGATCTTTTGTTTACTGTCCACCAGCATGGCGGCGATGACGTAACGTGAAAACCACCTATTGTAGGGCGAAAGATAAAAAAAGAAAGGAGACATTTTTTTGTCGGAAGGACAACATTAAAATTTTATAGCGGCGGTCATAAAATAAGAAATGCTAGCGGCCACCAATGCAAGATGAAAATGAGTGGCAGTGAAAAAAAAGTGAACATTTCCTCCAAACAACGTGTAACGTCTAAGAAGTTTCTGGACGTTTCACGTTGTGCAAAACAAAGGCAAAGAAATGAACAAAAAAGTGTGCTGCACGTGCAAAGTTGCTTTTCTGCTAATTGCACCTATTGTTGTTTTTCACCGTTCTCCGGCGTTGCCTTCGCCGCTTAAAATGACGACGACGATTTAAGCGCAACACAGCGTTGCAACATTGTTCCGACATTGTTTCGAATAATTAAAACATTGTTCCAACATTGCAACGCTATGTTGCGCTAAAAATCGTCGTTGCGAATCGTCCCGTGTAACATCACCTTTAGCATAACACTATTCTATATACATGTATTGTTTGCAAAAACTTTAAATATAATCGAGAGCTTCGCTTTTAGCCCTGGTTAAATCTATATATTAAAATAAATAAAAACGCCTGATCGCAGGTTAAAATTTGATTTGCCGTTCTGTTTTCGTCATGGCCTATATAAATTGGTTTTCTTCATGCAAGTTCAATTCCGCGATTTTTATGGCCTGAAACAAGAAGAAAAAAATATTGCCATGAGATGTGTAATCAATGACTAATCGATGGATAATCATTTATGTTCACGGCCATTTGATGATTACGCAATATGAGACCACACGTATTAATGATTTAACTCTCATATTGAGCTTGAGCTAGTGTGCTTACTATGAACATCAAGATCTAGATCGAGTCAGTTTCAGTCCATCTCGAGTGCAAACGGCGCGAAACAGTAGCAAAAGGTCTTTTTACTCTCGTACGGCAGGGTGCTCTTGGGGCGGCCGCAGGCTGATCGATCTTACCTTCGGCCGATGGCAGTAGACACGAGCGGCGAGTTGACCGAAACCGGAAACCGCGACTGAAAAGTCTCTGGTATTCAGGGAAGTCGTCATTAAAGATGGTGATCAAACCTCGCAGGAAACAGTGCTGTACTGCACAGTCTGACGTTAAAGAATCTGTGTTCCCACGCCCGATCGGGGACTTTTGGCGCCGGGCAAGATGGATATATTGTTAGATGTCATTTCACCTCAAAGTACTGGGAGAAAATGTAGCTATAACAATGTTCTTATTACTACCCATAATTATATAGCTGTTAGTTAATCCGATCTTGTCACCAAAGCTTTTATCCTTTATTTTTTAACGAACTGTCCAATTAAGGATTAATTTGGATAGTTCCAGATACGGCTTTCCTTTACAAATAGGCAAAATGTCCAATTTAAGAAAAATAGGACAGCTGGTCTGAGCCAATCAAATGCCAGAAAATATAATAGGCAGTGCAAACTAGTCAATCAGCGCAAAGTCCCGGTGAAAACGCGTCAAAAAAAGTTTCGTTGTCTGACGACGGTTCGTTGGCGAACACTTTTGGCTTCTTGTTGCTGTGAACGTCGTTTTGTTTTGCTGCTGTTTTGTTTTGGCTTCTTGTCTGGGACATTTAAAAGGAAAATGTATGACCAAACTGATGAAAGTTCAGTATCGGAGACAATCAACGCATAGATTCTTGAAAATGTACAAGCACTGAAACTTTGGACAAGAATAAGAAAACACTGATACTTTGCATGAGTTTAGATCATGGCATTACAAAAACAAACGGACAAAGACTGCGGAATTCGTTAAAGGAATGAACGAAATGTTTATTTTCAATAGTTTTTGTATTTAAATCAAGTATTTGCCTTGCTGCTTTGTCTTCTTTGTGCTCGAATTTGCGGTTTTCACCTGTAGCACCATATCATTCAGATTATTGAAGGAGCTTTCAAAATTTTAATTGGCAACAAAATGCCAAAGTCATGAAAGAGCAATACTAGTTCTACGTTCACCGTTTATTTGTAGAGAAGAAGTTGAATGACACCATAAGAATAAACCTTTTTTAGATCTTGCAGTGTGTTTTTTGCAGTGTGTTTCGAGTGTACAATATTTCGCGTCTGCGACACGCTAAAAAATCTGGATTAACTAAACAGCTATATAATTAATAAGTAAGAGGACTACATGCTTGTCCATTTTGGAAATAATTGAATTCAAAAAATTCCTCTGACAGCCAAATTGGACGAGGCCGTAAATTGGACAGCATGTAGTCCTATTACATGCTAATCACCGGGGAGCGCAGCTCAACTACACATTGATCGATTAAAGGAGATACTTCATAGTAACAAACACAAATTCCTATTTAACTTAAAATTGCATGTGATCTCCACCACTCTTTAGCATCCTTTAGTAATCCTTTACAGTTTTCACCAAATGATTTAGTTGAAGGTTGATAGTTATTGTAACCTTCAAGCTGTTGTTGCTGGTATCCACCATCGCGTATTGCATTTTGCTGTTATTTGAACCTGATTATATAGCGTGGCGAATATATAAGTACTATGATTTGTGACCGGTTATGAAAAGTCATTGAATAGCTGATATTCGCTGATATTTACTTCCTTCTTATCGAAAAATAGTTAAATATCTATTATATTACATCACGCCGCTTTTATGGCCTCATCAATACTCTCTTAAGGCTCTTCATCTTCAACTCGATCGCGAGTCTTTTCTTAGTTTTGTTGAAATCAGGGCTCTGATATCTTTTATTCCAATCACTTTGTGGAAATTGACCCATCTCGATAATTAGTTTTTCTTTCTTAAACATTACTTTGCCTCGAGGTAAAAGGTTCATTTAAAAGATAACAACATGTCAGTCATAAACTGCCACTTTCATCATGTTCATTGTACTGCCATTGCGGAAATGAAGTGCTTGTTTTTGTCCAATCATGGTGTCACTGGGCGGATAATCGGATAGTTAATGCTGCGTCATTAATGCCGCACGGTGCTATGGTACAGGAAGAAATCAGAAAAGAAGATTTTTAATACAAGTGCATGAGTAGTAGAAGAGCAAAGTCTTGTGAATAACAAAATTGTTAGATAGCCTTTGTTGGTGCTGTCAGTTGCTGATAAACTTGCAGTTTCCAAGCCTGAAGAAAGAATACTTGATAAGTTGAAAGCAGGTGAGTATAAAAACGTTGTACATTTACTTGAAATCTTATCTAACTTACTTTTAAGTGTTTTGCGTTAGACACGAAAACAGACAACATATAAATCTACAGCCGTTCAGTTTTAGTCGTAGTCGGAGGTTTAGTCTTATCGATGTGTACATTCACTTCGGTAAATAGATATAGGAGAGGAAAAGACCCGCATACTAGTGGAAATCAAGTAGCTCCGCTTTAAGATTTTATGGGAAAATATATAGACACCGAAAATCAAGCTTTCCATACGCCGCGTACACATCTCCCACAATGCACCTTATTTGCTCTCCCCCCCGCCAAATTTTGAATAAGTTTATTTTTCAGTTTCTCTTGGGACGGCTGGGCTGTAGTACCCAGGAGAAATGAAAAACAAGGGTTATGTAGATGTGCAAGTGGCGTATTTTGCGGATTTAAACCTGTTAAGGAGAAACAGTTAAAATCTGTAAAACTGTCGGTTCAAAGCCTCAGGGAACTTTAGATGACGTGAATCGACCTACCAGGCTAATGACACATTGAGCTTTGGAAACGACCCTTTATGAGTATTAAATTACTAAACAACTACTAAAACTAACTACTAACTAAAGTCTCAGCTATTTTATTGCAGCGTACTGTACAAAATTAAATTTGTACAAATCACCTATATGTCATTGGATAACAAGACTCAGCCTCTTCTATTCCTGGCAGAAACAGTTTTGCTGTCACCATTATTCTTTAATAAATAAAAAATAAACTACTAATAAATAAACTACTATAATTTCGGTTTAAACCTCAGCGCATGGCCTGCGACAAGCCTGGTTGTTTGTCTTTGTCCAAGAAAACCTCTATGTTCTGAATTGCTGGAATTAGCAAACTACTAGCTTGCGAGTGCCACACCTAAAAAATTAATGACGAACGTTTCCAAACCGCAGAGGCTATATAAACGCATCAGAAGGGACTGTGTCACGGTTTTCTAGTTCATTTTGTTAGTAATGATAATTTCTCGTCCTAAGCGCTATGGAACTTCAGAAATTACTTCTCATACCAAAACCTCAGCTTCGTGGTAAACAAATATTTCTCCCAATTATTTTATCATACCATAATTAAACGTTAGAAGCAAGAACTGAATGAACTTTGCAAAACTGTAGGACATTTGCCAAGTTTTAAGAAACCACAATTGCAACCCGTTTCAATCAATCAAGTAGTCCATCCGTGCTGCCTTCTGTACTTGCCTTGTTCAGTTATACTGGAGACGAAACAACTGTCAGAGGTGTGTTCGGATCGCACGTTCTTGTAGCGCTAAAGAAATCATTACTGGCAACTGTTTGACACGGAAGCCGGAAGTGGCTCCTTAAAGTGCGGAATAAAAAACCCCCGAGAGTCATATATTACCGGACATCCTTTCGCGTCAACTTCTTGTTAAGCTTTTTCGTTATGACAGTTTGACGTCAGTGAATTAAAAAGCGAGCTGTGAATTAAGTTAAATAACAATATAAATTGTGACACAAATCGTCATGGCCATGATCGATAGATATCAGTTTAATTAGTATTGATAACGGATGGCGTCAAACACAGGAAGATCGAAATAATTGTTCAATGATGTTTCTGTTGTCTTCCAGCGGTGTGGCATGACTAAACAGAATATCAAACTAGGCTACTATAGATTGTTTAATGACAGAAAAGAAACCAATGCCTTATATCAGCGCTTGAAAAATGGTAGATTTGTATTGAAATAATCTTTTGCGATGATTTTCCACTTTAACATGACTACTTTTCTACTCTTTTTTTTCTCTTTTTCTTCTTATAGTTTAACATCTTTAACAAGTTAAAAGGAATTCACCAATCAATAAACCTTGTAGCTAGACCTAATATATTGAAAAATTTGCAACTATTACAGTGGTCCGCTCCCGCTTTAGGAACGTCTAACGACGACGAATGACATTCTGCGCCCTGACTATTATTTTTTTAAAAATTACAAAATGGAACACTTGAGACCCTGTTATATGTTATAAAGCATATCAGTTCCCAGTTAGCCCTACTTTTAATTACTGTATTTTAACCTTGGTTCTCATCATTTTAAATTTTCAGTTACTTTCAAAGAACAAAAAGATTTGAACTTTGGGAAATTATATCGGTTTTCTGAACCAGAGCCGGAGATGAACAATTTCACGTTTTTTCTTACTGCTGTGGACTCTTCATCAGCTGGTTGTTCTTCAGTGGTTTCTACAACGTTTACATCGATTCTGGCTGTGATAAGTATAGTGACGTTAGTGGGTAATATGCTTATTGTCATAGCCTTCATAAAGACTCCCAGCCTACGGACAAGCACCAATTACTACATCGTTAACATGGCTGTCTCTGACTTCCTCGGACCGTTTTTTAGTTGGCCGCTCTACACCAGTGATGGAATGTTGGCACCTAACGTCTTTATCAGTGGGTCTTTAGCTTCTGCGGTTTGCAAAGTGGGAATGTACCTTAGAGCGGTTTCACTTGCCGTGTCCGTCCTGAGCCTTGTGTTAATTGCCTTGGACAGATTTGTTGCGACAGTTTATCCTTTTAAAGCAATGATGATAATGAATGTAAGAATTCGGGCGCTCTTTCTGGCTCTATCTTGGATAATACCTATTTTTTGGGGTATGCCTTACGTTCTTTTTGCCAAAATAATCAAAATAGACGACTAAACGTTTTGCAGATTTATGATGAGCGACGGGTCTATGACAATTTTCAATAGCTTTGGTATAGTTCTGTTATATGTTTTTCCTCTTGTCACGATTATAGCGTTGTACTTTATGATTGTTAGAGCCTTAAAAAAGACGCCAAACGTGCTGAAAGGTCATGAAGACGCGAAACGACGCAAACAGAACCACAGAATTGTGAAGATCTTGATATCAATCGTGTTTGCATTTTTTATTTGTTGGACTCCTCTTTGTGTTTATTTGATTCTCAAAAAACTACACCCATCTTTGTTCTTGAAGGACAATTGTTTATTTCTCGCTGGTTTTTGTTACTACGTCTTTCCATCTTTGAGTACAGCAGTTAACCCCGTCATCCTTTTCGTATTTGGCACAAATTATAATCAAGCCTTACGGACTCTTTGTCCAGCTCTATTTTGTACTTGTAAATGTGCATCAAGAGTGAAACAGCTTTCGTGTTTGGTATGAATTGTGACCAAATCCTTGAAGAACTTCCCACTACAATGTTTGTCCGCTTGTAACTAACTGCATTTTTGAAGAGATACAACTTGAGCCTGATCAAGAATCAGTAGCAACACAAACTGTTAATGTAGAAATGACAGATATAAAAAGAACGTGTTAATCTATGCTTCTTTAAAAGTATACTGAATTTTTTTTTAATAATGTCAAGTCCTTAGAATAGTGTTGCTACGGTAGTACATGTATATATGCTACTCCTCATCTAGAATAAGTCGATAGTGCACTAAGCAGGTTCCAAATTAAGTCGAAATATTTTAACCATTCACTGCCCCAGCTTTATAAGAACTTTGGCAATGTCATCTGATCTGAATAACACGCTTTATGATTGGTGTTTCCAGGCCGAAAAGTACTTGTACTTTTATGTATATCACAGTAATGAAGGTACCTTGTTTTGCTTGTAGTTAAGGGGAATGGCACACAGTGGGACTGAGCTATTGTTTCAGGTGGTCCCTCCCAACAAATCATTGCAGTGAGGTTCGTATCCCCAAATTCCCAATTCAATGACCAATTAATTGCCAAAGTAGCCTTTATTGAATTAGGTGTATATGCAGCCTGAATTACGAGCAAGAGGTAGAAATCTTGACATTTACTACTATTAATAGTGATCATGAATTGTAATTACTGTAGGGCAGTGGTTATTTCACAACAATAAAACTGAGTTTTCGAGTTTAATTTATGTTCTTATTACTAGAACAGTGTTGAAAGTCATAAAAACGTTCGCCTCCGGCGGCCATCATCATCAATAACGAAAACAACCTAGTGATAATTGAAGTACACTATCATAGAGTCTCCCAAAATATCTTTCTCAATGGGATCCTTCCCTCTTATCACGAATTCGAGATCCAAGCGGCAGGTCCTACTCCATCGATGCCGTGCCCAATCCTATGCAGGAGTTTGTAGGTCCGAGGCCCCGAGATACTTAGTTTCAATTAAGATGCGGACGTTTGTCGTAACCGGCTCAAGGTCTTGATCTACCAAGGACTGACTAATAGAAGGGATGAATCGAATGCGAGTACACTCCTGTGCTTGTACCCAGACACCGCGGATGAAGGCTCCGGCACGGGATTGTCAGTTCAAGAATCGTGAGAGAGGACCGCCTGGTACAAAGGGGACTCGTACGTTTTTGACGTAGCGTCTTTAGACTTTAGGGAGACCATAGTCCCCCCAAACTTTTGTTTTGGTAAGATCAATGAGGTTGACGAAAAAAAACGTATAACGGTCACTTTCAAACGTCTCTTGCGCCACTGTAGCAACGGCGGAATGGGTTTCAGACGTGAAATTTAATTCTGTCGAAAAAAGCAGTCGTAGCTAAAAGTAAAAAGCCGGCTTGGCTAGTTTTAGAAACAATTAGTTAAGTGATGCAAAATGATTTCTAATTTATTAATCGAGGTCAGCACGCCAACTAGCTGAAGATGTTTGAATCTGGCTGGTTTTTGTGTTTGTTTTGATCCATGTGGTTGACAAAGAATCACGCTTCATGCTTTCATGTCGACTTGCGTAAATAGTTTCATTTAAGCTTAATGAAATGGAGCACGATATAATTTGGTAGCAGTCATAGACGTTTCCTTTCATGTATATGATGGAATCTGACCTGCATTAACTGAGCCCTGACAAAACCTACAAAAAGGGCACGGAAAACATATTTTAGTGTATTTCTTCTTGTATAGGATCATAATCCGGATTCATCTGACTAAAATTCTTTGGTAGTGCAGCCCTATCTGGGAGTTCTCCACATTCCTTTTTCCTTTGCAGTCGCGTCGTTCTAATCGTGCTCTTTTCTTTTCGCAACATTACATCCAGCTTTTCACGCTGAATTTCTTGCTTTGAACGCCACATAGATTATAAGGTCCCATGCAAGACAAGTAGAAGTAATTCTTGTTTATAAACAGGAAAGTTGTTTTGTATATGAATATTTTTTTGATCGCTTTTTTTTCCTTTCTCTATTACACATCATAATCAGGCAGTAAGAACATATATTCCCACGTGTTGGTTAGCTTAGCCTATTCAAGGCGTTCAGATAGTGGAGTGTGGCTCGAAGTCAGAGAGTCAGAGAGCAGAAAAGAATTAGTGAGGAAGAGAGGGAGAGAGAGAAAGAAGGAAACGCTTTCACTCCCTATAACTCACCCCCCGCTTTTTTCCTGTTCACATCTCCTTGCGCAGTCTCCACAATCTGAAAGCCTGGATCATCAAGCTATAATTATCATTTATTACTCATTCAAAATATTTCCCCAATTCTGATTGGCTAAAAGCACACGCATAATTCATCGTAACCACTTACCGATGACCAAATTTGGAAGAATTTTGTGTTTAACGAGGAAATGACGTCAAAAATGCAGCCCGCTACAGGTTAAGGGACCGTTAACCGAGAAGACCTGGGGACGCGGTTGAGTTGTTTTTTTTGTGCTCGTTTTAAGAATAAGCCTTGAACTACAGCTGGAACTAGGCGAAATAATGGCTAAAAACATAGCAAAAACGGCAAGAAGACAACTCGGAGGGAGACATCTGCTATTTGGAGAATATTTGCGGAGCTGGACAAACCTAAACGTATACTATCGAAGATAAACAAAACATCGATGTAGGTAAGCATGTTTTAGCTATGTTTTTAAACTAGGAATTATTTTGAATGAATAATTAAGCAATTAATGAATTCGGCTTTCGTAGGATATGAAGAGTTAAGCAGATCTCGGAGGGTGTTATCCATCTTGGCCTCCGGCCTCTGTGGATAACACCTTCCTCGATCTGCTTAATTCTTCATATCCTACGAAAGCCGAATTCATTAATTGCTACATTATAACCCCGGGGGGGGGGGGTATCTTTTTTTACCCTTTTGTTTCTGTGTCCCTGGTGTGGTCCTTAGATAGGGTAGCTTAATTGTATTATCTAATACTGGAGTGTGAAAACGCCCGCCTAAACGAACATTTTTTTTAAACTAGGCTTATTTTAGTATTTTATGCTTGATGCTATATATCCAACGTTACAGGGAAGAAATAAAGTTTTCCTTTTCATGCTATTAATAATTTTGTTTTTTCCTTGAATAGGGTGCCATTTTAGGCTTTGGGCCTTCAAAAGGGTATCAGTTTTCGCTTTCTTAGTCCTTAAATAGGGTTAGGGTTCACGAACCTTCGAGGGCACACCCCTATCCAAAATTCGCGGGAGTACCCCCCCGGATTATAACTAGCTATATATATTTTTTTCACAGAACTGTATTCGTCTTGTATTTATATCACGCCCACTGGCTTCGAGTTCAGTTACTTGTGTTGAAGATGAATTACGTTTCATCAGAAACATTTTGGGTTCATGTCGTGACTTCCTTGAAAATTATTTCCTGTCTAACGGCTCTATGGAAGAATTATTATTTCAATATATAACTCGCCGCCAGAAGAAAACATTTCTTACATCGTTGTTTATTCTAATTATTGTTATTTATTTTTTATTTATACGCGGGCGAACATCTGTTAAAAGTATGTGATAAAATATGAAGTACTAATCAAAATCAAACTGATTAACATGATTGCCGGATGGGAGCCTAATGAAAAATAGTACGTTTTATGCTTCGGTTTTAAAAACCCCCAAAGAAGTTACTTTCACTAAGACCCCGAGGTATGCAGAGAATTCTAAAAGGCGGCACCGCTATATGAATAGCTTCCCATCAGACACTCTGTCCTTGGCGTTTCTTTAGGCCCCGTCCGCAAGCATCCGTTTTTTTGTGTGATGACGTCATCGACCTTACCCGGTAGAACCAGCCGTTTTTCCGGGGTAGACACCAGTTTACCCGTAGAAGATTTACGAGTAGCTGCAAGTCCTACATGATGGAGAAACGAGTAAGTTTTTAAGACTTTTTAAGTACAAATGTAAATTGTATGACATCCTTGGCAATGTTATACGCTACTTTTGGATTATTTTTTTTTAAAAACGGAGGAAAAAAATTTCCGTTTTCAAAAATATCCGCATACGTGTGGACGGGACCTTAGTCAAACAATGTAATTGGCAATCAATGAGGTGTGAAGCCAGGCTGAATACTAGTTAAAACAGGAAGACAAAGTACAGTAAGTCGATATTCATATTGATCGCGATGCGGCGAGGGTCTCATTGCTTGCTTTCGCATTCTATAAATGTAGCATTTCTTTAACTACTTCGTAGGAAGTCATCGAAGAACACACTTTACAGAGAGAAGGTGGGTTCCCTTTTGATTTCAGGTAGGTTTAGCTTTTAATATGCGACTTAACAAATGACAAGCAGCACTGGCTAGTTTAGAGAATACAGAAACTGGCAAGTTTCCTAAAGTATTATCAGTGAAGTTTTAATGGATAGATCGATGTTTTCGGTAAAAGTGGCTTGCTAATAACTTCTGCTAGTGTTAAACAACAGATATCGGGTTCCTACAAAGCAATAATATTTTTATAAGCCCAGAACTAGGAAATGAGAAACCCGTTCCGGTGTAGCCCCATATAATCCCTGACGGCTTAAACGTTGGGTTTACAGAGAAAGGATATTTCTTACATGCTGAACATTATAACTCAAGCTATTAGTCGCATAATCACTTTTAAGTAACGAATATTAGATTGGCTTCTTATGCAAATTTTCAAGCTTCCCTTTTTTCATGGCAAAATCTGTCGGCATCAACATTATCTGCGACTGTGAATAAATTGATACCGCTTTCTTGTTACAACTTAGTTGACATAATTTAGTCTTTGTTTTTTTAGCATGGCGCTTTGATTTAACTTTATTTGACAAAGTTAAACTTTCCTTGTTGATGAGTTTTCAAGCACTTTTGGTGTGCAGGAGTTAAACGCTGTAGGCAGCTAAAAGGTGTAGATACATGCAGTTGATGTCAAGGCGGAAAAAGCTTTGTTCCGTGATTTCCGAGAAGACTTCCTTTCACGCCAGTGCTTTAAGCCACCAAGGAAATATTTTACTAAAGAACAGTGCTAGAAAGAAAAAGCACTCAACAAACATTATTAATTATCCTTGCTAAATTCTCTACCAGTCATTTTCAACTGATTATTGAAAGAATGGACAATAAGTTTACCCTAAAAAAAATTAGCGAAAGTGTTTGCGAGCACATGTAGTTCACAGTGAAGTCTCCGACATGATAGAAGTCACATTGGGAATAAGCTTTGGTCCATGACTTTCGAAAAGAATTCTTTTCACCAAAAGCCTTGAAAAGCCTTAAAAGATCCCATAACTAGCGACTTAAAGACGATGATAATATCAGAGAAGCAATATTGCACCAAAAAAGACAGCAAAAACCTTGCTTAGTCACTGTAGAACATAGGAATGTTGACTTAAGTATTACCGGAACGAACTAAAGTACTACTCAGAACTGAAATTTAAGGTAGCTTCGAAAATTTTTACTTTATCTCGAATTCTTACTTTTCCTTGAATATAGTAAACGTTTGAGAAAACCAGGTTGGGTGGCGATCGCTGCAGGCTACATTTATAAAGAAATAAGACGCTCTTCATCAGATATCTAGTAACCTCATGGTGCCACATTAACAATTTACTTTGAATTTGTGTTATGCTAGTGCAAAGGAATTGAAATTTTTCATGTTCCTCATAACTCTAAAGAGCATGCGCATTATGCCAGTCGATCGGTCGTGTTCTATTTCAGAAAAAAGGTTCATGCGCCCATTATGAACGTTTGAGGTTTGAAGACCTTCGCGTTTAGTATAATTCAAGTTCAAGGAGCTAATTTGAGGATTTACGAGTCATTAAAATTACGGTCTATCTTAATTTTTTCCTCTTAAAATTCCAGATTATCTACCTTAACAGTCTGTCGCAGTCTCAAGCAAGTAACCGAATGAATAATTCCACAGAAGTTCAGTTTAACCCCTCATTGCAAGGATGTTCCGCCATGGTGTCCATAATGTTTACATCAACTCTATCTGTTATAAGCATAGTAGCGCTTGTCGGTAATATTTTGGTGGTAGCAACTGTTGTGAAGACCCCCAGCTTACGGACCAGCACAAACTATTACATTGTGAACATGGCTGTCTCCGACCTTCTCGGACCGTTGTTCTGTTGGCTGCTTTACGTCAGCGAAGGAATGTTGACGCCAACTGTCTTTATAAGTGGCACTCTGGCTTCAACTGTCTGCAAACTAGGAATGTACCTCAGAGCGGTGTCACAGATTGTCTCTATTCTAAGCCTTGTGTTGATTGCCTTGGACAGATTTGTAGCCATTGTTTTTCCTTTAAAAGCTATGACGATAATGAATGTAAAAATGCGGGTGTTTTTTCTGTTACTATCTTGGTTGATACCTTTCTTTTTTGTTTTGCCTTACGCTCTTTTTGCAAAAATTATCAAAGAAGGTAACCAAACATTTTGCAGATTTATGATGAGCGACGAGGCTTTGACAATTTTCAATGGCGTCGGAATAGTTCTGTCATACGCATTTCCCCTTATCGCGATAATAGCATTGTACTCTGTTATTATTAGATCCTTAAAAAAGACTCCAAACTTACTGAAGGGAAAAGAAGACGCAAAACGACGCCAGCAGAACCTGAGAATTGTGAAGATCCTGATATCAATCGTGTTTGCATTTTTTGTTTGCTGGACTCCATTAACTTTATATTTTTTGCTGAAAAAGTTANCTTCGCGTTTAGTATAATTCAAGTTCAAGGAGCTAATTTGAGGATTTACGAGTCATTAAAATTACGGTCTATCTTAATTTTTTCCTCTTAAAATTCCAGATTATCTACCTTAACAGTCTGTCGCAGTCTCAAGCAAGTAACCGAATGAATAATTCCACAGAAGTTCAGTTTAACCCCTCATTGCAAGGATGTTCCGCCATGGTGTCCATAATGTTTACATCAACTCTATCTGTTATAAGCATAGTAGCGCTTGTCGGTAATATTTTGGTGGTAGCAACTGTTGTGAAGACCCCCAGCTTACGGACCAGCACAAACTATTACATTGTGAACATGGCTGTCTCCGACCTTCTCGGACCGTTGTTCTGTTGGCTGCTTTACGTCAGCGAAGGAATGTTGACGCCAACTGTCTTTATAAGTGGCACTCTGGCTTCAACTGTCTGCAAACTAGGAATGTACCTCAGAGCGGTGTCACAGATTGTCTCTATTCTAAGCCTTGTGTTGATTGCCTTGGACAGATTTGTAGCCATTGTTTTTCCTTTAAAAGCTATGACGATAATGAATGTAAAAATGCGGGTGTTTTTTCTGTTACTATCTTGGTTGATACCTTTCTTTTTTGTTTTGCCTTACGCTCTTTTTGCAAAAATTATCAAAGAAGGTAACCAAACATTTTGCAGATTTATGATGAGCGACGAGGCTTTGACAATTTTCAATGGCGTCGGAATAGTTCTGTCATACGCATTTCCCCTTATCGCGATAATAGCATTGTACTCTGTTATTATTAGATCCTTAAAAAAGACTCCAAACTTACTGAAGGGAAAAGAAGACGCAAAACGACGCCAGCAGAACCTGAGAATTGTGAAGATCCTGATATCAATCGTGTTTGCATTTTTTGTTTGCTGGACTCCATTAACTTTATATTTTTTGCTGAAAAAGTTACACCCATCTCTTTTCAAAGAGGACAAATGTTTTTATATCCTAGGTTTTACTTTTTATGTCTTCCCTTCTTTAAGTACTGCTGTTAATCCCATCATTCTTTTCGTGCTTAGTACAAATTATAATCGAGCTTTGAAGGTTCTTTGCTCATTCGATTTTTCTGTTTGTAAACGTGAAAGTGAAGAGAAGCAGCTTGGGCAGCCTGAACCATTGGCAACAGAAAATGTAAAAGTAGAACTGACAGAAATTAAACCGCACTGTTCGTGATTTTGTCTCTTAACCTCCACATTTACTTCAATATGTCGTCTCGTTTGACTCAAACAATGTTCAGCATTCAAAATAACAAGTCTTTACAAGGACTCGACGTATAGTGGTTATTAAAGGAAATTCTGCTTATTCTCGCTAACACTGTTGCTTACATTAGTCGACGTTCGTGACTAATAACTGCTCAGTGATATCCACTACCTGTTCTTGAAAGCGTGACGCGATGACACCTGCAAGATGAGGTATCAGCTTACAGGGACTATATGACGATGATATTGCTGTTTTAGGCAGGTCAATTATGCGCTGAGGTCATTACTTAGTGCTTTTACCCACATAAAAAAATTGCTCCTGTACAGTTATGAAGTAGCTATCAATCAAATTTCATCAGGAAGCACTAACCATGAGAATTTTTATCAAAGGTGATTTTCTAAGCCGATATAAAACTTTGAAAAGGGCGAAAAGGGTGTGGTCCAATAAGCCCCCCTCCCCCTCCCCCCAGCTCCTTAGGCTTCTACCGTGCTATAATGTTTACCATGACTAACTGAGCTGTCTATATGAAACCAACTACAAGGTCATAAAACTATTATGGTATATGTCGCTGCTGAAGACCTCTGACGTCATTTAAAATGACCTGCGCCATCTTTCGTTTAGCTGAAAATTCAGATTTGTGCTAATAGGTCAGAAACTAATCATTTTTGATGCTTCAGGTATTGTGCTTTTTATTCAAACTAGGTTTTGTTCCCGGTTCACCCCCCCCCCCGGCTGTGTAACACTTTTTTTCCCAAAACGTGCGAAAAACTCGCATTTTGGTGTACAAATGGCTTGACCTCATTTCTGTCTATATTATACACTTAATGTCAGATCCCGAGGGAAACAGTTAGTTTTGTTTTCCCAAGAGTCCTGATGTTTCCCGAGACGAAGTCGAGGGAAACATCAGGACTCGAGGGAAAACAAAACTAACTGGTTTCCCGAGGGACCTGACATTAAGTGTTTTGTTATATTTCTACACTTTCACTTCAACAGCAACAAAAGAATAACCGGAGCGAACCAAAACAGTCGACTCGGTACTTATAACAACACAAATTTAATTCTCAAAACCACTGAATGAATGATTTACAAACAAAAGTACTTTCCTCATATTATCTGCATCTTTTTCCTCCACTAGCTGCTGTTTTTCTTCTGGGAACTTCTGGGATAACTTTAAAAATCGTTGCTTTTTAGCTTGAGGCTTCGTTTTTGTGTTGTTGTGTTCATTCACGAAAAAGAAAACTGGCTGGACCTGGCGGTGTTTTTCCCGCCTTCTGTCACACCACTTTCCACCATGCTTTGATCACGTGCTGCAATGTATCCCGAGCGGGATACATTGTTTAATGTATCACGATCGGGATACATTTGATTTTAGTCAAGGCCACGTGACCAAGAATCAACCAATGGCAGTCCCTGTTTAGTTGAGTGAAAGTCTAGGAATATAACAATGCTGCATGGCCACTGAGCTCAAGGTCAGTGCTGAATTTCACATCTGAGGAATCCGAAGTAAAAAGCTACTCTAGAGAATGACTTCAAGCGTAGAATAATGACTAAGTAGACTTCCCGTGATGTTGACCATGAATGATTATTGAAAATGTATTTGTCTACCATAAGCAAGAAACATTTTTTAAATCATTGTCTTTATTTAATTATTAAGTACACAATGTATATCGGATGTGTAAAGCAGGGGCTAATATTGACATGTACAACAAACTGCCGCTTGAAACAGGAAGACAAATTTACGGCTGTAATGATAGACTTTACTGATTTGCTGGGACGTCTTAATATAAAGGATTGCATTTTGCTTAACTTCAAGAAAAATTTTCAAAGAAGACTCTTTAAGGAGAAGTTGGGCTCACTTTTCATCGCAGGTAAGTGAGGGTTAAGACCATTACCTCAACATGACGTGCAGAGCTGGCTAGTAAAAAGTTTAAACAAACTTAAAATAGCTTTTGAAAACTAACTAGTTTAATTGAGGTTTGATTTCTATCCTTAATTTCAGTAGAAGATGTTTCTGACAACTAGCGCCCCTTCGTTTGATGTCAAACTGACCTGCCGGCCTCACGAGTTCAACATGATCGCTGTGAATATAATGATTGCACTCACAGGCTAACTTCGAAAATTAAAAATTTGCTGAAATTAATTCCTCGGCGTTACCGCGGTCCTTTGTGCGGGACAAATTAAACAATAGATCACGATCACATTTGAGATTGCCGCACTCCTGAATAACGAGGAGATTGAAGTCCATGTATCATGCTTAATCCGGTACTGAAAGGTAATCAGCAAAGTAAATTTCAAGCACAAGAACTAATTCTTGAGAGCGTCGGGCGCATATTTAGCGATCGCACAATCACATTAAAACTAAAAATTCTTATTCTACTGTGAAATTATTTTCACCCCTGAGTTGTCGGAAGATTGTGTGAGTTTGGCCGTGAGTTTTAAACTTTCGCATGGCTATTTTGTCTGTCTTTAGTTGGTTCACTTAACAATGATTTCAGACTTGGAATTTTCATCGACTAGTTTTTGAACACATTTAGGATGCAAAAATAAATAACATGAGAACTTGATTGAAATGCAGCATGTAGGGAAAGGGTGTGTGTGCCATGTAGTTGATTCATCGTAGTCTAAGCTTTGGGACTGTGATTTTCGGAAAAGCAAACTTCCTTTCACGCCTGTGCCTATTAACAAAGCCTAAGAATGCCCGACTATTACTAGCGACCCAATGACGCAGTTAGTATCAGTGAAACAATATTGTACAAATAGTCAGCAAAAAAGACACGATGGGATTTGCTTAGTCACCGTCAGAATATTAAGTGATTTTCAAAAATTTACGGCAACTTACCTTGAACTCGAACATTTCCTTGTAAGATTGATGTTTGAGACAACCAGGTTCGGAAAAGATCGTTTTTTTGTTTGATCCTGAAATTGTCCTTACAAATGAAATATCTAGCGAGCAGTGGTTATTGAGTTGTAGAGTATCAGTATGGATGCTCGAGTGCTTAGTAAACCACCCAAGTCATGCACCATACATCATGCAGCTAACAAATCAAACACCGATAAAGGAGTTCAATCTAGTTCAAATAACCCAAAGAGCGAAGCGCGGCAGAGTATTTAATACTGTGAAAGGTTTGAACCCAGGAGACATTTCAAAAGTAGGTTGAGTTTGATCGTCCGGGTGAACGTAGTCCTGAATAGGACTGTTGTTGTTGAGAGTGACTGACGTTTCGAAAACCGGTGCGGTAGTCATCTTTAGAGTATTTAATGTTTAAGTTTAAGTTTACAGTTTAAGGCTTCTCATGGCAAGAAGATCTTGAAAGATATAAGAAGACGGTAATGGCGAGCAATCGATCATTTCTGGATTCGTGTAAATAAAGGCACCCACTCGCTTGTCGTTACAAAATACAGTGTGAGACAGTGAGGGAGAAAAGGAAGAGGAGTAGTGGGGTCCACCCATTCCCTCCTCCCTATCCAGCCCTCGCTTGCTGAATTTTTTCCCCGGCATTTTTCCCTCAAAGGAGCTTGGTCCCATGCTAATGAAACAGTCCACCCAAGCCTCGGCTTTAACTCTTTTCACCGTGTGTCCTCACTGGAGTGAAATGCTGGAAAAGTCTGTCGTTAATTGTTTGAATTATACATGTACAGGCACGCGCGGGAGGTTTGATTTCCACGACAGGTTTTTCACATCAGTGTAAGAGGATACACAGAACACCAAAAATATAGAACTAAAATCTATCTGACCTTGGCCAGTGCTAGAGCGAAAAACAAAGCACCGGAAGTGAAGTTCATTCCTTTCGCGCGCTTTTACATTCTCATTGCATGGAAATATCGTTTCTATTCATGATCATGTGTGTTTATTTTTATAAGGTTTGCTAATCCACGGAGCATCAAAGAGTGTTGTTTTAAGGTTTATTTCCGAAGGCGACATTAATTGTTCCCAGTAGTAATGACAAAAAGGGATGGGCTTTGGATACAAAGTACTGTCACGGTTCCATTGTCACGGTTCCATTAACCTTAATGTCACAAGCAATAGTTGCCAAATGTGATTTTGCGTAAAACAAGTACAAAAACGCTCATTGCTGTAACTTCACTAACAATAAATATATTTTTCATCCAATTACCAGCATTTACCTGTTGTTTTCACTGCAGCATTACCTCCCACCATTTCATCCACTCATTATTAGATACGCAGCATCGAAAACAAGTACATCTGCATCTGAGGGCTATACTACTAATGTCACCCTTAGCGATATTATTAAATTATTATTAGAGATGACATGGGATAGCTTTCTTTAAGCAAATTTAACGGCATATTAGACTGCAGTCATCCACTGTCACACCCTTTTCCTTTTGTCTATAATAACACATGTAGGGGGGTCAAATGGAACACGTGACCTATTGGCTAACCTTCCAGTAACAACTGTACAGCAACCCCATTTAAATCCCAGATGGGCACTGGGTTCCAATTTACTCCAGCCAAAAAAAGATTGAGTACTATTAGAGCAGCTTTTGAAGCCTTCTCTCCCCAGTCACACAATTGACTCTGTTTCTCTCCTGCCCTCTCATCCCTGACATTTTACGGACTCCTCCTCAGAGCTCCGTGAGGTTCTGCGATGCACGTATTTCCAGTAACACAACAAATAAAAAATTAGACACCGATGGACAATCTTGAAGAAGATTAAAACGGATTGAAATTGCGGGTTATTGAAAACTTGTTAGCCTAACAGTTTTTCAAAATTCATTTGTTGTTTGTAAAGGTTGATTCACTGGAGAATATTTGTTGGATAAGAGGCTGCGATTTTGTCGTTTACAAGTAATTTTTTCGGTAACTTTAAGTGACGCTTAAGTTCATGGCGCACAAGGAAGCGCAAAAAAAAAAATAAATAAATAAAAAATATATATATTAACAACATGTGAATTAGACAGCCGTGACTGCAACTTCTTTGATGATATTTCCCCCACATTAAAGGGATTACGTC